ATGGCCACTTCACAGTACCCTCTCCTGAGAGGGACCGGGCTGCCCGCCACCAATTCTCCTACCCTCCAAGCTGCTCAGGCCAGTTCTACCATGATTGACAGGACCTCATTTCCAAAAGAAAACTGAGAAACCACTCACATCTCCCCATGCTGTGGCCTCATCTCACAGATCCCCTCCACAGTCCCATGAAGGAGGCTGGGCAGGTGTAACAGGGATGCAAAGAAAAGAGACTCAGCCGAGGCCAGCAGCCATTGGAAGCAGATCGATGCCCTGACTCACGGCCCAGCCCTTTCCATTGCACCCAGGAATTGGCCAACCTGCCCTGGAGAGGCCTCCTGATCCTGGTCCAGTACCTCTAGGTGACTTCTCCCGCCCCAGGAAGAGGCATCTGGATTCCTTTTGCCTTCAGAGACAAGGCTCATCCAGAAACCATGAGGCCCATAGCCTATAGCACAAGTCAAGCAAAGAACAAGACAAAGGTTAAAAACCCCATTTTCAAAGTCTGTTTACTATTCTTGCCTCAAACTATGAATTTTTAATTCAATTCTGGCTTAATTTAAATTTAATTTTGCAGTGAACACCATTTGTTTTGATTTAGCACTTTTCATCAAACAGTGAAGGCCAGCTCCACCTCCTGCCCCTACAGGAGGGTAGCACGTCCTGGTAGGCCTGTAGCTGCCAGTCCTGGAGACGTGAGTTGCCTCCCTGTTCTCTCTCCTCTCTCTTTGCCTTCATGCCCCAACTTCCTGTGTTTCTTCTGGCGCTAACGCTAATACCTATGCTTAGAAATGTTGTGAAGCTAGGCCCGGCGCAGTGGCTCATGCCTGTAATCCCAGCACTTTGGGAAACTGAGGTGGGCAGATCACCTGAGGTCAGGAGTTTGAGACCAGCCTGGCCAACATGGTGAAACTGTCTCTACTAAAAAGACAAAAATTAGCTGGGCGTGGTGGCGCACACCTGTAATCCCAGCTACTTGGGAGGCTGAGGCAGGAGAATTGTTTGAACCCAGGAGACAGAGGTTCCAATGAACAGAGACCTCCCCACTGCACTCCAGCCTGGGTGATATAGTGAGACTACGTCTCAAAAAAAAAAAAAATTTAAAAAAGGAATGTTATGGGCCAGGCACTGTGGCTCACGCCTGTAATCTCAGCATTTTGGGAGGCTGAGGCAGGCAAATCACGAAGTCAGGAGATTGATTGAGACCATCCTGGCTAACACAGTGAAAACCCATCTCCACTAAAAATACAAAAAATTAGCCAGGCATAGTGGCACGTCCCTGTAGTCCCAGCTACTCGGGAGGCTGAGGCAGGAGAATCTCTTGAACCCGGGAGGCCAAGGTTGTGGTGAGCCGAGATGGCGCCACTATACTCCAGCCTGGGCGACAGAGCAAGACTCTGTCTCAAAAAAAAAAAAAAAAGAATGTTATGAAGATAGAATTGTACCATCAAAATCGAATTAATATGATCCCAGACACTTAGCCCTCAAGTGTTTATTTGCTGCCATTATTCTTTTTTTCCTTTCCTCTCCCTCTGTTTCTTTCATCTTCCCCGTTCTGTTGCTTGCTTCTCTCCCTTCTCTCCACAGATGACTTTGCTCCTTGCTCCTAGCTATCTCCTGTCCAGATAAGGTGAGGTTTCCCTGCGTCCCAAGCCTAGTGGCTGTGTCCTTTGGCTCCCTGGAGCCAGCACCAGGCATAGGGTGCTGGCTTTTCTTTTCTTTCTGTTTTTTTTTTTGTTTTCAAGACAGGGTCTCGCTCTGTCATGCAGGTTGGAGTACAGTGGCATGATCTCTGCTCACTGCAGCTTCCAGGTCCCAGTTTCAAGCAATTCTCCCACCTCAGCCTTCCCAGTAGCTGGGATTACAGGCGTGTGCCACCATGCCCAGCTAATTTTAATATTTTTAGTAGAGATGCGGTTTCACCATGTTGGCCAGGCTGATCTCAAACTCCCAACCTCAGGTGATCCACCCACCTCACCCTCCCAAGGTGCTGGGATTACAGTCGTGAGCCACTGCGCCTGGCCTCTTTTTTTTTTTTTCTTTTTTGAGATAGGGTCTTGCTCTGTTGCCCGGGCTGGAGTGCAGAGGCACAATCATGGCTCACTGCAGCCTCGACCTTCCAGGCTCAAGCAGTCCTCCCACCTCAGCTTCCCAAGTAGCTGGGACTACAGGTGTGTGCCACCATGCCTACTAATTTAATTTAATTGTTTTTATTTCTTAGAGATGGGGTCTGACTGTGTTGTCCAGGCTGGTCTTGAACTCCTGGGCTTAAGCCATCCTCCTGCCTCAGCCTCTCGAAGTGTTGGGATTATAGGCATGAACCACTAAGCCTGGCTGATGGATACCTCTTAAACCAAGGTCTCATCCAGGCGTGGTGGCTCACACCTGTAATCCCACCACTTTGGGAGGCTGAGGCAGGCGGATCACGAGGTCAGAAGTTCGAGATCAGCCTGACCAACATGGTGAAACCCCATCTCTATTAAAAATACAAAAATTAGCCAGGCGTGGTAGCACACGCCTGTAATCTTAGCTACTCAGGAGGCTGAGGCAGGAGAATCGCTTGAAGCAGAGGTTGCAGTGAGCCGAGATTGTGCCATTGCACTCCAGCCTGGTTGACAGACGGAGATTCCATCTCAAAAAACAAAACAAAACAAAACAAAAACAGTCTCACGGCCTCTTTGTGCCATGTGAGCTTGAGCCGTGATAATGGGGGCATGAGAGGCCTAAAGGAGGAAGAATGAAACAAACTCAGGGGCAACAGGACACATACGTCAGTGTCCCTAGACAAGGCAGTGCCTGCTTCAAGTCCTTGGGGCCCTTCTGAATACCAGTGACCAAGGTAAAGTGTGTGTGATAACTGATTACCCTGAAAAAGCACTTGATAAACTTCTGAGTACAGTGTACATGTTAGCATCACACCAGGCTGTCTGTCTCCGCGCCAGGCCCTTACAGCCTGAACTTTTCATTCATGAACATAGCATGGTCTGAAACTTCCGTTGCTCACTGTTTTAGAAGAGATTCTTGAAGGATTTGAGCAGGCGGCGTCCCTCCCACTAACTGACCCAGCTGCTTCAGTGTCTCAGCCTCCTGAGCCTCCACTGAAGCGTCTCTAAGCCCCAAGATCCTTTGCTCAGTTTTGTTTTGTTTTGTTTCCGAGATGGAGTCTGGCTCTGTTGCCCAGGCTGGAGTGCAGTGGCAGAATATCAGCTCACTGCAACCTCCGCCTCCTGGGTTCAAGCGATTCTCCTGCCTCAGCCTCCCGAGTAGCTGGGACTACAGGCGCCCGCCACCACACCCAGCTAATTTTTGTGTTTTTTAGTAGAGATGGGGTTTCACTATGTTGGCCAGGCTGGTCTTGAACTCCTGACCTCAGGTGATCCTCCCACCTCAGCCTCCCAAAGTGTTGGGACTACAGGCGTGAGCCCCCACGCCTGGCCCCTTTTCTCAGTTTTGGAACCCAATTTTTTTTTCCACAGAAAGTGTTTGTGTTCCTCCGTCTCTGGTGCAGCAAATCCCAGTCGTTTCCTGCCCAGTAAATACCTAACCATGGCCACGTGGCTTCTCAGTACCCTTCCCTCAAGTGACCCACTTCAGATCCCCGAGTGCCAGGGTGGGACTCCCTCAGGACTCTGACCGGGCACCAGGGGCACCCCTCAGGCTATTGGTGGGGCACTTGCAGGTCAGAGTCTCAGTCTCCTCATCTTCCCTAACAGCTCCCCCTCTTCCTGGAAAGCCTTGCTCCCTCCATCCTGCCTTTCCCAAAGGGCAAGTCTAATCATGTCATTCCAGTCCTCAAGAGGAAGTCCAGGCTCTTAACTTGGCTTTCTGTGCCCCTTAGCATCTAGGCCCTCCTCTCCTCTCCACTTCCATTCCCTCTTATCTGGCCAGTTCCTACTTATTCTCACCGACCCAGGCCAGACATCTCCCCTTCCAGGAAGCCCTCCCTGATTGAACACCTGCCAGCCCCAGTCTGTTTCTTTATCTGCCTCCCTGCTGGGCTGTGTATTTCCAACATGGCCCTGAGTTGGTGCTCAGCTGTTAGCACATGACACAGTGTCACTGAACACATGTCACCCCACCTTCAGGAGACCCTTCCTGTCCTGTGGCCATGGGTTTTGCAGGAAGCACCTCTTGGAACAGAGGGGAGCCCCAAGCTGCCTTGGGTGTGAGAGGTCTGGGCTGACGGCTCCCATCGCTGCTGGCTGGTGTGTCCCTCCTCGGGCAGGGAGGGCCCTGCCACACCCTGCACTTCCTCTCATTGTGCCTCCCTTCCTGTTTAGCTAGACTGTTAGGCTGGAGGGATTTTTCCTCCCTTTCAGGACCTGAATGGAGCGATTTCTCCTTGCATCTCTGCCAACATCTCCCAGTACCCACCTCTGATCCACTGGTGGGCTCAGGCATCAACAGCTTTGGGTTCTAATCCCAGCTGTCCCCATTCAGCTGGGTGGTGAGAAGCCAGGGTCTGACCTCTGTGGACCTCAGTTTCCTTGTAAAAAGAAAAGTAACAAGGTGGCTCATGTGTTTTTGCGTGGGATTATGAGGGTTTAATGAGCTAAGGAGGTCTGTGCTTCTGAAGTGTGAGCCGTGGCCGTGTCACCCTTGTCCCTGACCCGCTGATGTGGGGGTTCTGCAGAGAGCCCAGCTGGGTACTCACTGGATGCCTGCAAGTCCAAACATCCTGTTCTTTTTGAACTCCTTACTGGAGAAACAGGGAAAAGCTGTAGTTTTTTCCTTCCACTCATATCAAGTGACACAAAAAAACAAGCCTGTCGGGGCCGAGCTGCTTGACTCTCTGATGTTTGGGAGCAGATCTGAGCAGCTGAGCAGGGTGGCTGTTCCTTTCTTGGATTAGGGTTGAATCTGTGGGAACCAGACCACCCCTGAGACAGGAGGCAGCCCTGATGCCTCCCCAGGGCCTGGGCCTGCAGCAGAGCCCCTTCCTCCGAGGGAAGCGGGACCTGGGGCTCACGTCTTCCCCGCCCCTCCTGCCTCCTTCCCTACAGGTGAACTTCCACAGCCCCCGGAGTGGCCAGAGGTGCTGGGCTGCGCGGACCCAGGTGGAGAAGCGGCTGGTGGTACTGGTGGCACTTCTGGCGGCAGGACTGGTGGCCTGCTTGGCAGCGCTGGGCATCCAGTACCAGACAAGTAGGTGCCTCCGTGTTGCATGGTGGGCTCGACTCACTCCTGTCCCTGGCTCTGTCAGCTTGGGCAAGGGGGGCTTCCCTGCTTAAGCCGGGGCAGGCCTCTAAGGCCAAGGAGGGAGCCAGGCCCAGGGGGATCTGGGTGCTGAGATGGACCAAGACCTGGGAAGTGGGCAGCATGGGTGGTATAGAGATCTCGCACTTGAGTCCACATCCTGTCCCAGCAACTTACTGGCTGTGTGACCTTGGACAAACCTCTTACTCTCTCAGCCTGTGTCTTCTCTAATTTAAATGGGAAAACAGTGCCCAGTTGGGGGATGGCTCTGCGGACTAGAGATAACATATGTCACATAGCTGGTGCCTTGTGTTGTTGCTAGGATGTGGGGTAATTACACACATAGGCTGACATTGTGTGCTATCTCTAGTTCCAATAAAATAACAATAATGCCCTCTGTTTACTAAATTCTTTCCTCAGACCAAATACCCCAAATACCGCACCCGCTTCAGATGCAATCTCATTTCCTCCTCAGGGCAGCCCTGTGAGGTGTGGTTACTTTTGGCCCCTTTTCCATATTAGGAAACTGAGGCACTCAGATAGAGTGACTTGCCCAAGGTTACGTGGCTAATGGGGGATCGAGTGGGGCCCTTGAATGCGGAGGTTGGAATTCACCCACAGGCTACTGGGCTCAAGCCCAGGCTCCACCTCCCTTTGTAATCCAAGTATGCTCCAGAGCACATTAGCACCCCCAGGAGAGCTGCCCTTCCGGGATCCAGCTGCCTGTCGTGTTCCTTGGTCGGTGCTTTTGTCTGTCCCATTTTGAATGGTGATACAATTGGGCCCCTCTGATCCTGCTGTAGGGGTCTGAGACTGGTTCTCTGTTTCCGACTGAGTGGATCTAGCCAGGTGCCTCACACAGAGTTAATGCTCAGTAAACACTTACGAAGTGGGAAAGGGTAGATCCAAGTTAGAAATAAGGATGGGGAATTAGCCAATGCCAGGACCTCTCAGTCCCCTGTTGCCCCAACATTTATTCTTCTGATGGCAGATGGTTCACCTGGTTGAGCAGCCTCTGGGGGCTCTGCTCAGCATCCCACCCACTGACTCAGTCTCTCACCCTGTGAGAGAAACTATGAGCTTTCTCGGGATCTGGGAACGTCCACTCCAGGCTGTGTGGAGCCTTCCCTCTGTGAAGTTGCTGGCCTGCGAGGGTGGCCACGCCGCACCGGGGTGGGGAGGGGACTCGAGGCCTAGAAAAGAGCAGGGACTTCATCTGAGCGTTCTTCCATCCCTCCTGGGTTAGGCACAAAGGTATCCATTCACTCCACAAACATAGGTTGTACTTAAGAAACAATTGCTTGATGAGTTAACTGACTGTCTGATGGTTTATGGTGTTTTACGAAATGTGCCTGGCTCAGCAGGTGCTTAATGCATGTGTGACTAACTAATGACTAGCTTTCAGGCCTTTAGCCCGATGTGTTTAGCATAGTGCCTATGCCACAGGTGTGCAGATAGTAAAATGAATAAATTAATGTTTGAATGAACAAAAGGGTAAGAAGGAAGATCAAGCTGAGAACAGCCTTTCTCTGCTGAGTGTGTGTATATTGTGTGATTCTGTCCTGGTGCGTGTTTGTGTGTGTGCGTGCCTCCTCTACTCACAGGACACAAGCTCATCATCGTCTCCTGCCACTGCCATGTCGTTTCATCCTGAATCCACTCTAGTTCAGAACCCCCTGCTGGTCAGTGTGGACCCTGGCCAGCGCGTTTGCACAGCTCTTGGCTTGGAGCAGCGGGAGCTGGCCAGACTCCGGCAGCCAGTGTTGCCCTGAGACTGCCCCTCGGAGCTCCCAAGATATGTCTTTGCCAGAAACCAGGAGGGAGTCCCCACGGGCCAGCTCCTGATGATCAGACCCAAAACATTTCTGTTGTTATTGCCCAGTGGGGTCCCTTGGGAGGAATCCTGCTTCTGCCTCTGTTGTGTCCCTCTCTGGGTCTCGGAACGGTTTTCTCCAGCCTGGACCTGGGAGAGGAACATTCTTCCCCTGGAATGGAGCTGGGCAGAGGATCAGGTGACCCTTGAGCCACCTGGGAAAGCAGTGGCCACCGCAGATATTAACAGTAACCTCATTACCCAGGTGCTGGTGCTGGCCACATCTGAGCAAACACCAAGCCAGTCAAAGCAAATCTGTCCAGGCACAGTGGCTCTCACGCCTGTAATCCCAGCACTTTAGGAGGCCAAGGTGGACGGATCACCTGAGGTCAAGATGTTCGCCAAGCATGACCAACATGGTGAAATCCCGCCTCTACTAAAAAATACAAAAATTAACCAGGCATGTCGGCACACACCTGTAGTCCAGCTGCTCTGGTGGCTGTCGTGGTGCACGCCTGTAGTCCCAGCTACTCGAGAGGCTGAGGCAGGAGAATCGCTTGAACCTGGGAGGCGGATGTTGCAGTGAGCCAGGATGGCACCACTGCACTCCAGCCTGGGCGACAGAGCAAGAGTCTGGGCTCCAAAAAAAAAAAAACAAAAAAAGCAATCTTTCGATGGTTCTGAAGGGCCAGCCTCTGGGAATGGGTCTGGAGCCACATATTTACATTTTTTACTTTACCTTCCTGCTATGCCTTCCTTTTCAGAAACATTGGTGCTTTGCAGAACAGGAGGCAGCGGAAACAAACGCAATTACATCTCCAAGAAGAGTATCTTTACTAGTATTATTTATATATTATTTTTTTTGTTTGTTTTTTGTTTTTTGTTTTTTTGTTTTTTTTTTAGGCACGGAGGCGGGTTGGCTCTGTCACCCAGGCTGGAGTGCAGTGGCGCCGATTCTGGTCAGCAAAGCTCTGCCCTCCCTGGGTTCATGCATTCTCCTGCCTCAGCCTCCCGAGTACCTGGCGAACCCAGGCGCCGCCACCACGCCGGCTGATTTTATGTATTTTAGTAGAGATGGGTTCCCGTGTTGGCCCAGGATCGTCTGGGTCTCCTGACCTCATGATCCGGGCCTGCTTCGGCCCCCAAAAGTTGCTGGGATTACAGCGCGTGAGCCACCGGCCCGGCTCCAAGAACATATTTTTTTTTTTTTTTTTGTGTTTTTACACAGTTTGGAGGCCAGGCTCTGTCCAGATGGATGTCTGCTAAATTAAATCTAAGATCTTGTTTTCTGCCCCTTCTGCAATTGATCATGCGTGTCCCAAAAGGAAAGGACGGTTTGGCCTGGGCCTCTGCCAGGTGTGGAACAAAGTGCTGAATAAGGCCTTGCATTTCATTTGGTTATCATTTCAAAAACACATATTGAGCGCCATGGCACAGTGGGACTCACTCCTTAATCCTAGCCCTTTTGGGGGAGGGCGAGGCGGGGGTGCGATCAATCTCGCCGCATGCCTAAGGGAGCTTCAAAGGACCAGCCTGGGCCAACGTGGTTGAAACCTTGGTGTCTTACTAAAATTTGACAAAAAATAGCCAGGCGCTGCGTGGTGGGACGCTTGTTGTGAATCCCAGGGCTACTCAGGAGGCTGAGGCACGAGAATTGGCTTGTGTGTGGCAGAGGTTCGCAGTGAGGTCTGAGATTGTGCACTGCCATCCAGCCTGAGGCTGTGACAGAGGCCAAAAAACTCTCGTCTTCAAAAGGAAAAAAAAAAAAAAAAGGCACGTATTAAACGGCTGCTAGTTGCCAAATACAATGCTAGGCAATGGAAATATAAAAACACATAGGATACTGGCCTGCCCTGAAGTTCACATTCTAGTAGGACAGGTGGACAAGGAGATGGCCATGACATAGCACAGTAGCACAGCAGGCACCCAGGCCGCTGAGGGACCCAGAGAGGGAAGGGGGTCTGGGAAGGTTTCCCTAGGAAGATGCGGCCTTAGATGAGGGGGCCTGGAAACCATAAAGTCATCAAAATGCATGAAGCACCTCCTGGGCCAGGAACATTTCATGAAGTTTCTGCAAACCGTTGAATAGTTGAATAATCAAGCCATTGCTCCTTAAGCACCTTCTTGGTCCCTGGCCCAGTGTCCAACAAAATAGACACTTAGTGAAGAACTCAAACCTCTAAGACTGCTTTTTTTTTGAGACAGAGTCTCTTTCTTGTCACCCAGGCTGGAGTGCAGTGGCACAGTCTTGACTCACTGCGACCTCCATCTCCCGGGTTCAAAAGATTCTCCTGCCTCAGCCTCCCAAGTAGCTGGGATTACAGGTGCCCACCATCATGCCTGACTAATTTTTGTATTTTTAGTGGTGATGGGGTTTCACCACGTTGGGCAGGCTGGTCTCGAACTCCTGACCTCAGGTGATCCGCCCGCCTCAGCCTCCCAAAGTGCTGGGATTACAGGCATGAGCCACCGAGCCCAGCCTCTGAGACTGACTTCTGGGACTAGTTTCTTGTTTTGTTTTTAAACCCAAGTCCCCATATGATAACAGCAAAAACCTTAATCAGTTAATTAATCGGTCTCTCTCTCTCATGCACGCAGACACATTCACACAGATGCTGATGTGTCTTCCCGCATTAGGCTCACTCTCAGCTGTCTCCTGGGCATCGCCACCAGCCAAGATATTGTAAAATTTTCCTTCCTGTGGTTTGATGTATGAAAACAATAGGTATTCTTTTCCTTCTCTTAAGTGTGGAGTTATATCGTAATACTCAGCAGGCTCTTTCAACCTACATAGAAATTCTCTCCCTGCCCCATAAAGATTTTGGTGCTTCCCTGGAGTTTGAAGTGGAGCAGTCAACTGTGATTAAGATGATTTGATTTAAAGATACTTAAAATGGCACTATCACCCCCACCATTTCCTTTCTCTGTTTTCGTGCGTAATGGCTCCATAATTTTTTTATGACACACCTCTCAACTGTGAACAATAATTTTTAATTGTTGTGTGATTATCTCAAAGTCAGATCACCCTGATTTTCCTGCTGTTGTGTGGCTGCTCTGAGCCCTTTGTCAGCCACCCATCTGAAGGACTTTGTGTTTGTCATCAGATGTTGATAAGCCCACAAGTGAACCTCTGCCCACTGGCCTTATGTTCCTGAGTGAGTTGAACACTGCCCCTACTAGCCCATGCGTTCTTTGCTGCTCTCTAAAGACTGGCCTGAAACTTCAGACCCTGAGACTTGAGGAAGCTGAAACCCCGTGCCCAGCCATGGCCATCATCACTGTGAAATCTGTGAAATTGGTCCTACATTTCTTCCTAACTTTTAGATAGAGAAACTGAGGCATGGAGAGATGAGGTCACTTGCCCAAAGCCTCACTGGCAAAAGTAGAAAGCTGGATTTGAACCCAGGTCTGGTGGCCTCCAAAGCCCACCCTGCCTCACTGCCTCCCTGTGTGGTGGGGAAACAGATCTCAGCAGTCAGGCTGCACCAGCCCCTGGTGTGACTGGCAAAGAGGTAGGGAAGGAAAGCAGAAAAACACAGCCTTGGCATGGCTGGACTGAGACAGGCCTGGGCCCAGCTCTCAGCTCTCCTCCCTCCCGCATAGCTGGGCAACCTTGTTCCATTCACTCCCTCAGTTTCCTCATCTTTAACCAGGGAGACGATGCCTGCAGCTGATGGCTTGTAATGAGTTAAAATGAGATCCTGAGTGTGTGCAAAGTGCCCAGTGCATGGCCACATTCAGTAAAGTCCCTTTGGTCATCAGCACAGCCTGGGTGGATGGATGATGGGACTGGGCCTGTGATTCTCGGTCCTGCACAGTCAGCTTCTTGTTGCTGCCTCAGGCCAGGCCTCTGCGCAGGCCACCCAGGCTTTGGGTCCTTTGGGAGAGCTCAGCCGCCAACACTGAGGTTGGGCTCTGGCCCTTTCCTCTCGCCTCTGGCAAACCAGTCTCTCAGGGTTGTTTAGCCTTTGGGTTTTTGAGGATTCCTTGAAGTCACGCACTTTCCTACTTGTATGCACTCTCCTGCTTGTACGCAGGAGTGATTTTTCCTGTTTCCTCCTTCTATTCCTAATAGGCTTTCCTCCTGCCTATGTCCTGTCATCCATACTGTCTACATCACCCTTTTGGCACATAGTAAATGTTCAGTTTATTTTTGCAGAAAGGAGGACAGACATTTCTCCTACTGTTCCCTTTTGATTTATGTGTATATCCCCAACTGAATTGTTAGCTCTTGGATTAAAGGACTCTGCCTTTTTATGCCCAGTACCCCAGTACCCCCCCCACACACACACACACACACGGGCATGGGCGCACACTTTCATGCAGGAGAACGCACACACGCACACACATGCACTCTAGACACAGCAAAGAACCTGGAAGATAGTCATTAGCTTGCTGAATAAATGAATGCATGTATGAATGAATAAATTTGTTGAACATCAAGGAATAATAAAGAGTCAATGAATATTTATGGAGGAAAAGGTTGATTAAGAGAAACACCTGGGTGCTGGGTACCTGTTAGCCGTAAGAAGGATTTTAGACAGCTGAATAGAAGTCTTGTGTTATAAGCCAGCAAATTTTAAATGGGCGGAAATCATTTCTCTGTAGGGCTCTAGTGACCATTCAGTTCCAGATCTGTGTGGTCAGGGCTGGGGTGGGACATGTGACCACTGGGCCCCAAGCCGCCTTCTCTGCCCTCCCTGCTTCTTCTCTGCCCTCCCTGCTTCTTCTCTGCTTGCCCTTCACTGGCCTCTTGTCCTTGACCCCTTGCAGGATCCCCTTCTGTGTGCCTGAGCGAAGCTTGTGTCTCAGTGACCAGCTCCATCTTGAGCTCCATGGACCCCACAGTGGACCCCTGCCATGACTTCTTCAGCTATGCCTGTGGGGGCTGGATCAAAGCCAACCCGGTCCCTGATGGCCACTCACGCTGGGGGACCTTCAGCAACCTCTGGGAACACAACCAGGCGATCATCAAGCACCTCCTCGGTAAGCATCTAGCATGGAGACCAATGAATGGGCCACAGCAGGGAGCTGTCAGCTGGTCCAGCCGGCTTCCCAACCACACCTGCTTAAAGGAGGAGGTTGGCAGAATGGGCCGTGTGTGGTGGCTCACACCTATAATACCAGCACTTTGAGAGGCCGAGGTGGGTGGATCACTTGAGACCTGGAGTTCCAGACCAGCCTGGCCAACATGGCAAAACCCTGTCTCTACTAAAAATACAAAAATTAGCTAGGTATGGTGGCGTGCGCCTGTAGTACTTGGGAGGCTGAGGCAGAAGAATTGCTTGAAACTGGGAGGCAGAGGTTGCAGTGAGCCGAGACCACGCCACTGCACTCCAACCTGGGCAACAGAGTGAGATTCTGTCTAAAAAATAAGAAAAGAGGCGCCTGGCAGAATGGAAGACCATAGACTTGGGAGTAGGTGAATCTGGGTTAGAATATCTGCTCTCATTCATTGTATGATCCTAAGTCATGTATCTCTGAACCTCAGTTTCTTCATCTGTAAAATGAGACTAATAAGATCCAAGCTACAGAGTTTTGAGAACTAGAGCTCTCACGTGTGAAGCATTAGCATGGTGTGTGTGGCACGTAGGGTGTACACAAGAACTGGTGGCTGTGATCGTTACTTTTGTGGCTTCAAGCTTGTCATAGCTTTTGACCAGTATTGACTGCGAGTTTTGAAAGTTGTGAGTAAAAGGGATCGGGACTGAACACACTAGATCAGATTCTAAGGTTGTGATCCAATGAAAGTTCTAACAACAGCTCATCAGAGAGTTAGTTATTCAGTGTAGGCGGGAATCATCCTTAGCCTCATGGTGATTGGGCTTGCATGGTAAGCCGTCTGGTCAGAGTTGTTTTTGCACTTCACTAGGCCTTGGGCACCTCTAGTTCACCCCTGTGTTGATGGTTTTATCCTCAGATTAGAGCTCCACGTTGTCTTGTTTGCAGCTGTATCCTTAGTTAATGTTTGTTGAATTCCCGGCTGCCCACTGGGCTCCTCCTCTGGTGTGAAATCACGACAGTCGTGCTGTATCACAAAGCTGCTCACCTGAACCCCTGCACAGCTGGGACCATGGCTGTCTCCCTCTCCTGCTGTCCCCTGCTCCATCCTGGGACCCTAAATGCTAAGAGAGGCTGGATTCTGAAAAGCCAGTCAATTTAGCCATCAACAAGAGAACCTGGATCACACAAATACTTACTGTTTTAAAAATCTTTAAGCTATTCAAAGGTAGATAGGTGCAATAGAAGATACCCAAAAGGGGACAGATCTTCTTAAAGGGACAGAAATCTTAAGAGACAGGAAATAATTCTAAATGGACATTTATCAATTTAAGGTAACTGAGTCTTTTAGATTACAGGGAAAGTAGGCAAACCGGGTAAAGGAGACCTTTTCTTTCTTTCCTGCCCGAGCTCCACAGGGCAGAGCTGCAGTAGGTAAAACACACACACCCTTTCTCCTGGCCTCCCGCAGCTCCCCAGGCGGCAGCAGCAGCCACCTCCCGCCTAACTCCCCGAGGATGGGCAGGGTGGTGCGTATGGATCTGGGGTTGAAGCTCAGTGTGTCTGAAGCAGCAAAGCCCCAGCCTGAGATGTCCCCTGCCTGCCTTATGCCACCAAAGTGCCTTCGAAAGAGGGTGTAACTTTTCATTTTAGAACCAGATGCTTAAAAGGCAAATATGTCTGTCATTGCAAGACTGGAACTCAAGGACGTCCCTTGTCCAGTGCCTAACATCACAGCAGGGGGCTTGGCAGGGCCCCTAGTCCAGGTAGTATAACAAGTTGGGTCGGTTCCTCTGCTTCAGAGTCACCAGGACCTGGGTTCAAATCTGGACTCTGCCACTTACTATAAGGTCTTGGATCAATTACATCACCTCCCTGGCTTGTTTTCTCATTAGTACAGTGGGAACCATGCCGCCTCTGAATTTTGAAAATTAAATGGGAAATACATTTAAATGTATTTAAACCATGCCTAGGCCTGGCATGTCGTGGTGGCTGCTGTTTGTATTGATGTAACTGTTATTATTCATCCTTGACCTTTGCACAGCATTTGACTGGTTACAGAGAGATGCCATCCCATTTGATCTTGCAGGGTGGAATCTGGGAAGGTGGTGTTCACTCCATTGGTAGATGAGGAAAGCGAGATCTGGAGAGGTCCTCATCATAGGCTAGTGAGTGGCAGAGCTGAGACTTGTCTGATGCCTTCTGTGCCCTTTCCCCTGTCCCACACCACCTCCTTCAGGTACAAGGGACAGACATAGCTCCCTTTCCGCAGTGCCTGCAAGAACCTGCAGGGAACGCAGAGCCTGAGGGCCTGAAGGAAGGAGAGACACGGATGTCCGCCGTGTGCTGTGCACTGTTCCAGGCTCTTTACAGCCACTGCCTCCTTAATCCTCACAACCCCAGACTTCAGAATTGTTGTTCCCATTTTGTAGATGCAGAAACTGAGGCTCCCAGAAGTTAAGTGACTTTGTCAAGGACATACCACCAGTCCAAAATGGTGAGGGGCTCATTCTCTGGGGAGCATTTACCATTTAGAGGGGATGGGGCAGGACAGCGGTCAGGCCCTCTAGCTTCCCAGTGAGGCCCAGAACGGGCTCTTGTGCATCTTAGGGGTTCTGATCTGACTGGTTCTGGGGCTGGTTCTCACTGGGAGAACCTTAGGTCTGGGCCAAGATTGAGTCCATCCCCACCGTTCCTGAGGATTAAGCCGTGGGTGGGGAGCTGCATCAAATGGGCCATGGAACAACCCAGAATCATGCGTTCAACCCTGACCCCGAGTCCAGGGTCCAGTGATACCAGGAGGCCAGACCGCAGTTTTGAAGTCAAGCAGCCCTGGTGTGCTAACTGCTTATCACCCGTGTGGCCTTGGACAAGTGGCCTGGCTTCCCTCCCACTTGGTTTGATTATCTGTGCGATCGGGATAATGTTGCCTCCTCACACGTGCATTTACTGTGAGTGTTGACTTGCCTGGGATGATTCAAAGTGCTCAGCACCGGAATACACCGGAATACTAGCCTGGCACCTAGTAGGTGCTCAGCAAAGCACAGCTGCCCTCCTTGGTGGTGGTAGATGAGTTCCAACCAAGACTTCTTACAAACAAGCTGTATGACTGCAGAGAGGTCACCCAGATTTTTAGGTCCTCGGCTCATCACCTATAAAGTGGGAACTAACTGAAACTCAGATCATTAGTAGGGATGCTCTAAGGGTTAATGGGATGGGCAAAGAACAGAGTCATTATTGCTTATTTATTAGAGAAGCACTGGTGTGTAGACCCAGTTATCAGGAAGGAGGTGCAGGAAGCTGTGTTATCAGGAAGCTGTGACACACTGAGTATCTCACTTGTATATTTGCCCATTTTACAGATGAGACTCATGAATATGAAGGAAATGTATTTCCTAGGAAATGGTGAGGCTGGGATTAGACCCAGACTTGTGGGGCCTCAAAGCTTGTATTCTTTCTCTACTCACTCCACTGTCAGATTCAGCGGGGAGAGGCCCTGGGTCGGCACTGCTGGCGGGGAGAGCAGCCAAGAAGTGTGGTTTGCCTGCCTCCTTTCCCCAGCGGCTGCTTCACTGAGCTCTCAGCCCAGGCCAGCCAAGCCCCAGCCCAGGTCCAATGAACACAGGAGCTGGGGTCACCCCCATGTCATATTGACTAGGGGCTTCCCCAGAAGGCATATCCTGGGGTCCCCTCCCCAAAGGCTCACTCCTCGGAACTAGTCTGGAAACGATCCCTCAACTTTGGGCTTGATACCTGGGGATTTTGATACATGGAAACTCCTGAAAAGGCAGATGGCAGGTGAGTGGGTGGCAAAAAAATGCAGGAGTGTGGGCCAGTGCATTCTTGGGCTTAAGGCCAGGCTGGGTTCAGCCTCTCCAAGACAAAGGGGTCAGCCAGCAGGCCTCGGAAAGAAGCCAGAGCTGATGGGCATGGGAACAAGCCAGAGGTGCCCAGGCCACTCCGACCTGCTGAGGGGAGGGCTTCCCTCTAGGCAGAGAGGGGAGAAGGGACATTTAGAGTGCCAGTGTGGATTGTGTCAGCCGGTCCGGCAGGATAGCTGTTACCATCTGCTTGTGTGACCTTGGGCAAGCCATACATTTCTCTGCCAGGTGAATTCATGCTAGCCTCCTCAGAGACAATCCAGGCAGATCTGTAGCAGGTGGGCCGAACTAGGCCAGGTGCCACCTTGGCATGACCTGGCAGTCTGCCAGCTGGGGATGGTGACCTCAGCTGCAGGACACAGATGCGTCGCACTTCACTCTGCCGCTCCCCAAAGTGGCCAGCATGGGCTGTCCTCCTAGGTTTTGGGGAAATGAGAGTAGTGGCTTCACCTCATCAGAGGAAGGAAACAGCCAGCCCCTTCAGCCCTTAGACTTGGCCCTGCCTTGGGCTTTCCAACTGTGCTTGTGGCTCGGATTATTCCACCAGCTACAGTGCCTACACCACCCCCTCCAAAGCCTCCAAGACTTTTCTGAAACCTGCTGCCCCCATTGTCTTCTGTGGCTACCAAACGGCCTTTCTAGGCTTGAGCTAGTTACACTGTGTGCACCTGTCGTGTTTGCTTTACTGTATTTTATACTGTAAGATGAATGCATACAAAAAAAAATCAATGCATGCTTATTGTGACAATTCAAGCAACACAGATTCCATAAAGAAAAAACTAGCAGTCTGCCTTCTGGTCTCCCTGGGAGATACACACACAGTATTCCAATAGCATTACATGTGTCCATGTTGGTGATATGGCAGTTAATGATGTCACCCTGTGACATCTCTTGTATTTTTATTTTGACATGTTTTCCCAATACCTGCTGTCTAATTGAGTTTGATCTTCCTGTGCATATTGGAAGGAAGCCATCTATGGACAGGATCTGCATCATGAGTGCTTTCTATCCAGTATGGTGTCTACAGGAGTGGGTGCTGCCTTCCTGTTTAGGGAATGCTTATGTGGATTGATTGATTCTTAGTCTGTTTGTGCTATTGTAACA